TCCATCCATTTAGATCCATTTATTAAATGGATCCATTTATTAAATGAATCTAAATGGATTGGATAAAACTATTTATTCATATTGACACCTCTAATTTCAACCACCTCAAATGAATTTCAAGGGGAAAAAAAAACTCTTCATAGAATCGTAAATTCCACTACCTTAATACTAATGCTTTATATGACTTGTAGCAACCAAACATCTTATTTGTTATCAACTTCAACTGTCACTTATTGCTTCATTCCCTGCAATCCATTGTGCCATCAAACCTAAAAGCAATTATTTGGAATAATTTTTTTCAAAAACACTCTAGCATATATATATATATATATATATATATATATATATATATGATATACATAAGATAAAAAAAATAATTAAAAAAAATAAGAAAAAATTAGTTGAAAAATGTGTTTATGATGCACTTGTGCAGATAAAAACATATCCAAACAAGGCATAGAGAAAATTGATTTTCAAATAGTAATTGTTATTAGCATTTCTTTTGTTTGCCTCCACTCCACTGAATCTGAAAGTCAGAAGCTAAACCACAACAAGAGGATAAACCTGGGAGGGCCACGTGGTCAAGGTGCTGCCTCTGCTGCCCTTCTTTCATTGCCGCAGGAGTGGGATTTGTATTACTGCAAAGCAAAGCTCTGTCTGTCCGCTGTGACCGACGGGGTAAGCAGTTTACATTTTACGGTAGTGCGGTGATGAGATGATGGCTTCTCTGCTCTCCCAGACTGCTCCAACAGCACTACTTTCCCAGCAGGATCCCAAATTCATTTGCTTTTCTCCATCAAATCCAACCTCCCAGACCGCCTCTCTCTGCAGCTCGTTAACGAGAAATACTAGTTTGAGGTGCAGCGCATTCTTGGATGGCATTTCCGATGCTACTTCTAGTTCTAGTTTGCCACTACCGCTACCGTTAGACTACCTTGACCTCGACCAGTCCTCGTCACTTCAATTCCCTGCTCTTCAACCTGTTCTGCCCCTGCTCCAGAGTTTGATCGCCGAGCTGCCCCAGGGCCACCAATCGGGAGTCTTGCTCTTCGCTGGCTTTGCTTGGCTATATTTGACGGCCAGGCCGGGCGTTCTCCTTGGTGCCTTCGATTCCTACCTTCTAGCTCCTCTGCAGTTGGGCTTTGATACCCTGACTGGGAGAAGGAGACTGAAGCGGACCGATTTCTTGATTGGGGAAAGGCTCGGAGAAGGTTCCTTCGGTGTTGTTTACTGTGGTCTCGTTGTTCCTAAGAACGTGTCAGTGGATGCTGACAGGGTTTTGACGAGAGCAACTCTGAGGGCTCTCGAGAACGATCAAAGGTTCAAAGACAAGGTCATTCTCAAAAAGGTGATTTAAAAAAAAAAAAAAAAAAATTTCCCCTGACTTTGGCATTGCTTTTCTCAGGTTCTGAATTGTGTATTTTATTGTATTGTCACGCACTAACTTGCCACACTACATTCTGTTCCTTCCATTTTTTTATTTTTTTTCCCATCACCATTTCTTTTTCTTCTTTTTTGTCAGTCTATTTTGGTTTCACGATGTGCTTGGACTTGGAGAAGAAGTCCAGCCTCCTCTATGGCTGGTTTTCTATTTGGCTTTCGCCTGTGAACTTTTTATGTCATAACAGGTAAAACTTGGAGTTCAAGGTGCTGCAGAATGTGGTGATTTTGAAGAGTGGTTTAATTACAGGTTGTCAAGAGCAGCTCCTGAGACGTGTGCAGAATTTCTCGGAAGTTTTATTTCTGACAAAACTAATTCTCAATTTACCAAGGGTGAGAAATGGCTCGTATGGAAGTTTGAGGTACCTGAGCTTTTTCCTCAAGTTATTTTTCAGGAGATCTAAGGATAATTCTCAGTTTTTGATGTTATTCGCCTATGCCTGAGATCAACATCGTTTCTCTTTTCTCGGTTTTTGTGGGGAGTCTTCTTTTGTTTTTCACAACCTCTTATTCTCTTTTCTGTTTTTTTCTTAATTGTTTTTCATTTTTTCCTTTTTTGTTTAGGCGAACAATCTTTCTTTTTTACATTTTTCCTTGCGATTTCTTGAATTTGAGTCTGCAAAAATAAATGTATAAATAAATAAAGGACGACTAATAAAGTAGTTGTACAGGCTATGATGACCAGCTTGGACATCATCATAATCTTATGACTTAAATAAGAAAGATAGGATGCATTGAATTTTTGAAACTCTTGCTAATCACAGTGAATTAACAAGACGAAGCTTGAAAATCGTCATTTTCCATGTATTATTCTTAATTATTTACAATATGCCATTGATGGTCTTATTGGAAGTCATATTAAACAGCTAGTTTGTATGCTGTGCCTTGCATTGTTAACTGAGCTGCATTCTGATATCTAATGATATACGTTGTGATCCTATGGGAATGTCATGCAATAGGGTGATCTTGACCTTGCTGATTACATGCAAGATCGTGGCTTCCCTTTGAACCTGGAATCTGTTATGTTTGGCCGTGCCTTGCAAGGATTAGAGCCTGTTGAACGCAATGCACTGATCATCAAACAGATAATGCGCCAAATCATTACTTCCCTCAAGAAGATCCATGACACTGGTATAGTACACCGGGATGTAAAGCCCTCCAACTTAGTAGTTACAAAAAAGGGGAAAATCAAACTCATAGACTTTGGAGCGGCAACAGACCTTCGAATTGGAAAAAATTACATGCCCGATCGCGGACTACTTGATCCTGATTATTGCCCTCCTGAGCTATATGTAATGCCAGAGGAAACTCCAAATCCACCACCGGAGCCAATTGCTGCCTTTCTTTCTCCAGTTCTGTGGCAGGTGTCTCTTCTATTCTTTCCTTCAAGTGGAAGATCAACCAATTTTTGTTGAAAAGAAAGTACTCATGCTATTATTAATAAATTTAAGCCATTCATTTCCAGTAATTAATCGCATTTGACGCATTGAGTTATAGATTGCATTTTAGTAGTTTTATTATGGTCAAGCATACTAAATTGGAATTTAGAGTTGGTATAACATCATTAACTGGAATGTGTGACCAAGTTATGCAGATCGTACACAATGAGCTAACTTCAGCTTGGTTCTTAATAAAGACACACTGAAGTGGTTTTTTACTACTCTTGCTGCAGTTAAACAGTCCTGATCTTTTTGACATGTACTCTGCTGGAATTGTATTCTTACAAATGGCAATACCGTCCTTAAGGTCCACATTAGGTTTAAAAAATTTTAATCTAGAATTGAAGACCGTGGGATATGACCTGAGAAAGTGGAGGGAGAGAACAAGGATGAGGCCTGACCTTAGTATTCTCGAGCTTGATTCTGGTAGAGGTTGGGACTTGGCCACAAAGCTTATTTCAGAGAGAGGTTTCCTGAGAAGGGGTCGATTATCTGCTGGAGCAGCCCTGAGGCATCCATATTTTTTGCTAGGCGGTGATCAAGCTGCCGCAGTTCTTTCGAAATTGGCTTTCAAGTAGGAAACCTTTGATCATGGTAAGCTTTGCATATTCTCAATCACCCACTTCTTGATTTCTTCTGTTTTATCTAAGTATTAATTAGAAGGGCTCTAATTTGGCTTTGTAGTGTTATTTTCTGTACCAGGTTTTGAACCTGTTTTTAAAGTTTACTGTCATTATTCATCTTCCTGTGTTAGGCTATTTTCTTAATACTAATTCATACGTTGATTTTGCTTAAGAGGAACTGGAATTTTGATATGCACTTAATTGGGATTTTACGAGTTATATATAGTTCTAATCTGTCTCTACGCAGTGGGAGGAAAGAAAAATTCACGAGGAGCTTCCATGCATGTAAGGTTTATTGTTCTCCAATTTGTTAGCATACCAGCAGTTCCTCCTTGCAGCTAAAAATGTCTTGCTCGCCAGAAAATTGCAGAAGTCAGCGTGTTAAATTCGAATGAGTAGTCTTGACTTTCTAACAGGGCAGAAAATTCGTCTGTCTGCTGCTAAATCCTTTTGTTTGTGCCTAAAACTAAAAGAAAGAGAGGAGCAAAAACTTGGAAAATATATTGCCGAAAGATATATCCTCTGGCAAATAACCATTCTTTATGTACTATTGCAGTGGATATATTTCCTGAATCCCGCATAGTTGCCTTTGTTGGCTGAAGACAATCCAGAGATCAATACAGAAACTTTACTTTTCACTTCAATGCGATCATCAGCAATTACCATTTTAGTATTTTACTATTTCATCAAGAAAATGTTGTAATAAAGAAACCGAAAGTCAACACTTGCCATGTCCATGATTCTGTATGTAGCGTGTAGCGAATCCATGCGGTCATTTGGTTGGAGGGAAGTGGAAGGTGAATATTAGAAGTTCACCACCGTAGATGAGAATCAAAGACGGTTTTGTTTTGAGCAAACAAACTGTCAAATTGTTTGGACATGGACATGGTCGTACGGTGTTATGGTACTCCATATAACAGCAGTTCAAGGGCTACTACGTACAATATTCTCATGCAAGAACAGTCATATGCTAGTATGGCTAGAACAATATTGATTATTAGTAGTAGTACTAATTTCTCAAACATAAATTTTCAGGGAATGGGATAAAATCAAAATGTGGTGGTTTACCATATACAGTACAAAATAGAGTAGTACCACCTTAATTTTTTATTTTTATTTTTTTTAATGTAGTACTCCCTCCCTTTTTTTATAACTGACGTTTAATGTTTTGCACATCAATTAAGAAAAGTTTTTCATTGTTTAAATCTATACACTACTTTCCTTTTGTACCCTCATTAATTGTCCAATTCACTCATGTTTTTTCTCACTAGAATATTAAATGGTGCTGTTTTACTAGGTCAAAAGCAAAGAGAGAAGTAATAATTACTAGGAGTAGTAATTAAGAGCCCTGTATTGGTAAAGAGAGATAAAAGGGTAAAATTGTGAAAAAATAATTAATGTTGCATGGGAATGATACAACGACAGATAAAAGTACTTAAGAGCAAATTTCTTACTTAAGAGCAAATTTCTTAAACGTCAGTTATAAAAAAAGGGAGGGGTAGTAATTTGGAAGAGAACAGAACACGAAGGCAGGAGTAGGTGGGTAGGTGGTACTAGTAGCTAAAGCTTAATTAAAGCTCATCATGATACAGGAGGGTAGTCCCCGTCCCCGGGTGGCGGTGGTGGTGCTTCTTGCAACCCCAGTGGCATCTCCAAGAACACAAGGAGTTGAAGGTCTTTAGCCTTCTTGACTGAAGAGATACGATATCCGACGTTGATGGAGACTTTGAAAGCACCACCGCGTATCCGTCATCCATGTAATCTGTCCCTTCGGGAAACAATTGCCAGAGTAGGCTCCCGCCGCCGCCTCCCCCCATTTTTGTCGAGTTCAAGAGGGTCTTGTACACAGTATTGAGGAAGGTGTCCCGGTATGTAGAATTGTAGCCGGGATCTTTTGCTGATACACCAAATTCCGCAAACACAACAGGCATACCAAGGAAGTTCTCAGCATCATCAATGTGAGATTGCATCCATGCTTTGGTGAAGTCTATGTGGGCATCAGAGATCGATTGCGAAATCCTTCATACAGTGTCGATATCATTTAGTACGTTCTTAATAGGAGCTCTCATGACAACCATAGAGCGGCAGAAAAACGAAAAGAACACCCTAGTGTGTAATCTATGCATCCACAACTTGAACATACATAAGCCAGATGTCTTTTAGACGTAATTGTGTCATAAAAAGCTTTCTCACCAAAAAGAAAAAAACCACTCGAATGAATATAAGAGGAGGAGTGACAAAATATTAAAGCAGTTTCCCATGAATGAATATACTAACCAAGAGTCTGGATATATGTGAACAGAAGCAAAATCAACCCCGAGAATTTGATGATTCCTTATAAAGTCAGTTCCAACTTGTTGAGCATAGGTATTTGGGTTGAACTGAACCCTGTTGAGCGTCGAGGGACCATAGAAACCTTCCACTCCAATCTCCAACAAGTGCTTTGGATCAATGCTCTTCACATAGACCGCCATTTCTTCTAACCAGGCCTACATGTACGTTGCCACCTGAATAACTCGGGATAACTTGTATAACAGATATCATTCATCACATTATGCTGCGTACAAGGTTCAGTAAGATGCTATGAAAAGATAAGAGGTAGAGCTAGCTACCCTTGTACGGTGAGATGTTTTAGGTTTACATACCATGCGCATTTAATTTAGTTTCAGGTATACATAGCATGGTGACAAGTTTCTCATGAATTTAGCTGTTCAGAGACACAAACCTGCAGCTTGTTGCCAGAGGGATCTGATTCACATCTCGGCTCATTCATGAGTTCCCAAGCAAATATCGTTGGATCATCCTTGTAGGTTACGTTGTTGACAGTGTTGACTCTATCAAGAACCATCTCCAGGCGCCCAAGTATCCAGAGAAAGATTTAGGAGTGAGGGAAAAGGGGAAAATGTTAGACTTGGTACAATAACAGCAATTGTTCGAAGACTGTGTTGCAGTGCATGTCAACGATGAATGAACGCGAAACTAGTCATTAAAATTCAAGCTTAGTGAACGAAATGCAAGAAAGCTATCAAAGCAAAGTACAAACCTTGACATGAGCCTTATAGTAGCCTTTGAGAGTTGGATGGGAGAAGAAGTCATCATCAGAAGTCAAGTTTAGGCCAGCAGCTTTACCCCATTTGACATACTGGGATTTGCCTCCGTAAGCTTCCCAATTGTTTACCAACGACAATATAAGCCTGATTTTGAACTTTTTTGCCTCACTTATGACGAAATCCAAAGCCTGTAAATCAAGGAATAGCTTAACGTATCTGTTGTATTGATCTTGGTTATCCATATCATCATGTTAGTCAACCGTTACAATCTTTAAATGTAATGTGGTTTACTTGCGCACCATGCACGTACAGAGACCGACGCAGCAATGCAGATAATTCTTTCAGATGGAAATCACGGTCAGGGGACTCTTTTCCTTTGTCAACTCAAAAAAGCTAACTCACGAGACACTGTGAAATTGAGATAGAGGGACGTACCTGGAACACTTGCTCGTCATAAACAGCCGGCGATTTCTGAAGAGCTCGCCACTGGCCGTCGTTGAAAGCCCAAGTCCTGCACACCGTAAGACCCACAGAGGATGCCTGTTGAAAAACCTCAGTAACCTTAGCTCTCGTAGATTGATCCGCAGCAAAGACCATTAGCCAGTAAGTGTTGAACCCATTGACATAAAATGGTTGGCCATTGACCATGAATTGGTTTCCATGTTTTTGCACCATTGTCCATCCTTCGTCTTCCATGACTCCAAAATTACGTAATCTGTAAACATGTCATTAGTAAGCAATATAGAAAAACAGCAGCGTAAGCTGCATTTGAGGAGTTGCTACTCAAGATGAAACCGAATTATGCTTACTGGACGCACCCATCGTCGTTGTCGGGATACTTACCCGAAATAAAAATCATTATTGTTGCTAGAATGTAGCCAAGGAATATTCATTTCGTCTTCCATTTTGGGTGAATCGGCATTTGAGGTATCAAGATACATAAAGAGGATAAAAAGCAATTGTAATAATAATGTTCCGCAAGTAATGTCAATCTGGCTGTAGTCCATGATATGAAGAGTCAAGACTGATAGGCGATAGCTTTATTAATCTTTATGGGAGATGCTTTAGCATTGACAGGAAAGACATCTATATATGTGTGTGTGTGTGTGTGTGTGTGGCACCGTATGTCTTAGGATACTTGTCCAGTAGGCCGCGAACTAATCTTGTAGTGAAAACAGAGAGAAGTATGAAAGAGGGAATCACCTGGGCTACCTTCAAAGCAAAGATACACCAGTGTTTCCTTACATGGTCAGTAAGTAAAGACAAATTAAATAAAAAAAAATTTCTAAAAAAAAAAAAAAAAATGGTAATGCTGGTAGTGATGGGCGTCATTTCATTTCATGCCAAAAAAAAATGGTAATGGTGGTAGTGATGGTATCAACTGGGACTTGGGGTACTTAGCTTTAAAGCTTTAACTTTTAAGGGGGACGCTTGTTTTTGGTGGGTGTAGAAAATGAACCTTTAGACTGAACTGAACATAATAGAGACACGTGGCATGCACCAACATATGACTCTCCAAAACAAAAATAAAATAAAATAAAATAAAATAAAATGGGCAATGCAAATGCCACCCACAATCAAACCAGAAGCCGTAACGACGCCACCTACCCCTAATTTGAAATCTAAATCAATTACTAAATTATTGAATTGTTAGGTACTAAATTTAATACATTTAGGTGTATATCATATCATGTGATAAGCGAATAAATTAAATCTTATTTTTTTAGAACAAGTTTTGTCTAAAAAATTCGATGCCACTGGATTAATTCAAGTGCCACTTGAGGAGGAGCATTTGAACATATTAAGATCTGAACCCAATAAATTTAAGTACTAAATTGAGTTATTAAACAGGATCCAAATCCAATTGTTTGTTTTACTTCCACCTAGTGTATTGTAATAAAAGGAAATTCTATCGCCTTTTTAAGAAATCATTTCCTCAATTTAATTTGCATCAATAAATGATGATATATATATATCCCCCTAAATAAAAGGATAATACGTTGAGCAATTGACAGTAATACTACTTACTAGTTTTTACCTAATTCAAAAAGGAAATTAAAAGATAGTAAATCTAACACATCAATTTTCAGTTTCACGCAAGAGGTCAGGAAAAAAAAAAAAGAAAAACCTTTGTTACACCAAAATTCTGACCGTTTAACATGATGACACTGCCGGAATGCAAGGACACAAACCTTTTGGGAAGTAGATACATTGCATGCTCTACTCGCAAGTACGTAGGAGTAACGGCTACGCCCCAGTGCTAGTAGTTTTTTTGAAGGAAGTGCCAAGTAGTTGGTCAGCCGAAAATAAAATAATAATAAAACACTAGGAGGAATAGAGTACTGGTAAAAGCTATCATGGCAGTTAATTGTTTCCTTACTTGGATTCCGATGGCGGTGCAATTTAGCGGTGTTGAAGATGCGTGAGTATCCAGTACTATTCAGTAGCTTTAAAACACCAGCACCCGAGAGTGTCAGTCACTCATTTTCCTCCTCCTCAGGATTCATTCAGGTGCTAGGCGGCGGCTAGACGACGGTGATTTCTTCTTCTCCTCCCTCCCTCCTCCTATTGGATTAGCCAGCCTCGTAGAGAGGGATGCCAGCCAGGGAAGGTGAGGCAAAGGGGTTATTTGATTTTTAGTCCCATCGGCAATTCGGCATCCGTCCATCATGCTACCAGACTAGTACGTAGTACCTACTGCAGCAAACAAAATCAACCGCCCGACCGCCTGCTCACTGCCCGAGTTTAGGGTTTTTTTTTTTTTTTTTTTTTTTTTTTGATAATAGGGTTTTTGTTTTAAAGGAAAAAAAGTTATATCGTAGCAATATGATATATGTTTGATAAAAAATTAATTGAGAAATGCGTCCAAAGAATTTTTCTTCAAAACTCGCAAGAATTACATTTATTTTTGTTCAAATAAAGCAATTTTGGGATGCTTGGGCCTAGATGAATCTATTCTATCAGGATAAAATTCGTTATATGTATTAAACTGCGGTTCATTTATTAGGTATCATTTATGTCGAATCGCTTAATAGTGTGTACATATATATAGATACCGGCCTTGTTCTCAACTAATCTTTATTACCTGGTTTTAAATTTTTAATTTTGAAAAAGTTATTTCGTTGTGCTGTCAATTGCTTTCTGCATGCTTTATTTTTGACTATGCACCTAAAAAAGTACTTTTTATATTCATTTTCTAAAATAAAAAAGTACTTTATACAATCAAAAATAGTTGTAGACAAGGCTATTTTATTTTGCCTTTTGTGCTATACAATCTTTATACGTTGAAAGCAAAAAAAAAATAAAAATTATTGATGTGGTGCGACTATGTTGTTAGAAAAAATGAAAATGCGAACAAATAAAATATTAAGCCAGCATTTGGATTGAGAGAGTGTGAGGGTAAGGAAAAAAAGGAGTTGGAGGGATTTGATTTTTTTTTTTTATTGATTTTTGAGGAGTAAAATGAAACGATATGAACAAAGAGAGAGGCAAAGAATCTAATCATTTTGTTGAATTGGCATTTCTATCTAAAAGTAGGCAAAATGAAGGAAAAGAAAACCGAATTCAATGGAATAATATAAATTTGTTTGAAAGATTGTTCTTTCGTATCTTTTCCAGTTAAATAACACTTCATCATTTCCTTCCGTTTTTTTTCCCCTTCCGTAGCCCAAACAAAATTTCAATATTTCTTTTCATTCTTCTTCCATATTTAATCCAAGTACAATGGATAAGAACTATTTTCCTCTACCACCTGTTCTTTTCCTTTTTTTTTTTGGTTTGGTAGGAGGGCTTTAGACCAATTACACGGCAACTAACCTAGGCGTTGCAATGTTTAGGATTGCAAACGAGTCGAGTTTTGGTCTAATCGAGCCGAACTTTGACATAATTTTAGTGAACTCGAACTCGACTTGATTCGAACGAGCTCGAGCTCGAGTTGGAAAAAAATAAAAAAATAATTATTTTTATTTTTTAAAAAATAAATAAAATAATACTTTTTCATAATAAATAATAAAATATTAAAAATATATATGTAATTTTACTATTAAAATAAAAAAAATAAAAAATATATATATACTTAAAATAAAAAATATATATACTCGAACTCGCGAGCCGGCTCACGAGCTAACGAGTTTAATATCTTGAGCTCAAGTTTGAACTCGATTTCGACTCGAGCCAACTCGAGTTCGACTCGAGTTAGATATTGATCGAGCTCTACTCGAACTTGATTCGAGCCGCTCGTGAGCAGTTTGCTTCGTTTGCAGCCCTAGTAACGTCTATTACATCATATGCCAACCACTTCCTCACCTCATCTGGTGGAGATGCCATATCTTGGACCCCCTCCTCCAGTTTCAAGCCACTCTTAGCTAACCAATCCTCACTCGCGTTGTCTTCCCTCCATTGATGTATTAACTCACATTGCCACTGCTTGTCCTTTAAACTTCGGATTTGGCTAATCTGCACCATAAGTGGGCTCTCCGTTGGGGCTTTATCAATGAGCTCTAAACTCACTTTAGAATCATTTTCAATGATCACTTTCTTGTACCCCTTCTCCCATGCTATATGCATTCCAAACCAGATCGTCCAAAGTTCAGCTTCAGTAATAGTCCGCTGTCCTAAGTTCGCCCAAAATCTGCTGATCCACTCCTTATTTTCATCGCGTAATAGCCTTCCAGCCCCTGCAATACCACTCCTGGTGCTAAGCGCCCCATCTACATTAACCTTTATCCATCTAATGTTCATATTTTGCCTTTTCTTACTCCTCAGTTCCTTCTCTAGTACTCTTTGATTAGCTTCCAACACTGCAGCGATAGTCTTCGCTAGACTGTCGACTGTACTGCTGTCCTCATTGACGTAAAAACGATTCCTGCCTCCCCATATTGAGTATACCACCTGTTGGAACACTACCTGCCAGGCCAAATGATCCCACCTGCCAATATTCCTCTTCTTAAGATTCCAGTCTATCCAATCCTCTGCACTCTTGTTGTTAAACTTCTCCCAGTATCTTGAGTGAACTAGGCTGAACCATATCTTTCTAGCCCAAGGATAGTCTCGTAAAGCATGTAATTGCGTTTCCGGATCCTGCCCACATAATTTAGAATAACTAACCTCTGGAGGTGCCTTCGTTTCTTTTCTGTATTGGTTAAAAGTTGTTGGTGCCTGGCTAACCACAAATTAAACTGCCATCTGCCCGGTCCTCTTTGCCTCCAAATGCGAGCCCAACCATGTGGATCAGCAATTACTGCTCCATTGCATTCTAGCTGATATGCAGTCCTTGTTGAAAACACTCTCCTGGGATCCAGAGTCCACACTGGCATATCCGTGACAGAGTCTTCCTCTGCTAAATGGACTTGTAACAGTTTACTTAATATTTAGATAGGTAGTAAAGATTCCAAAGTATCCATATTCCATCCCTCCCCAAAACCCTAGTAGTCCCTAACTTTCTTATGCAGCTCTCCTTTCGGAACTTCCCTTCCACTCAAGTCTACCAGCGGCTTTTCTAATAACCAAACGTCCTTCCAAAAACTAACATCCACTCTATTACCCACTCTCCACCTCACTCCTTTCCTCACCACCTTCTGTCCTTCTTCTATACTCCTCCAGATGAAGGATTTTCTTCCAATGCCCCCTAATTCCTTATATTTGTTGCTAAGAATCCGTACCCACAGTGACTCCCTCTGGTGCAGAGCTCTCCAGCTCAACTTGGCAAGTATTGCTCTATTAGTCTCCCTCATTTTCCATATCCCAAGCCCTCCTTTCGTTATATTCCTTGTTACAGTGTCCCAGTTTACATGATGAATTTTCCTGCGCTCTGCTAAATGCCCCTATAAAAACGCCCTTGCACACCTCTCTATTTCATCTAGCACTGAGCAAGGTAACATAGCCATCTACATTGTATACAATGGAATTGCGGTAAGCACTGACTGTACTAGCGTTGCCCTTCCCGCAAATGATAGCATCTTCTTTTGCCAACCTACTAGTCTTTTCTTGACTTGTTCTACCACTGGTTGAAATATACTCTTTGTCACTCTCCCATGCAAAAGAGGTACACCCAGATATTTTCCTAAATCATCTGTGACCTCTATTCCAAATTTCCCTTTTATCAACATTCGCTTGCTCCAAGATACATTCCTTAAGTAAACCATCTTTGTTTTGCTTACATTTACTTTTTGCCCCGATAATTTGCAGAAATTTCCTAAAGTATTCCCCACCACCTTTGCTTGTTCCATACTTACCTCTGCAAATAACATTAAATCATCTACAAAATTTAAGTACGCTACACCTGGGCCATTCCGAGTGACTTTAATTGGTCTCCAGTCCTTCAATGCCACTGCCCCTTTAATCATATGACCCAACCTCTCTATACACAAAACAAACAAATACGGTGACAGCGGGTCCCCTTGCCGAATACCTCTAATTGGTTTAAAAGGTTCTAATTTTTCTCCATTCCATAGGACTTGCATGGCACTTGCCTGTACACAGTTCATGATGAGCTCATTGAGTTTTTCCGGAAAGCCTATTAACTTGAGAGTCTGATGTATAAACCTCCATCTGAATCTATCATAGGCCTTTTTCAAGTTTACTTTTATCACCATTCCTCCCTTCTTTCCCCTCCACTTATTCATAGTGTGCAAAATCTCCTGAGCTATAATTATATTATCTGCTGCTTGTTTACCTGGAATAAAGCTGCACTGATTCTACTCGACTAACTCAGAAATCAGCGGTCGAATCCTGTCCACTATAATCTTCATTATTACCTTATAAGGAACATTACACAACGAGATGGGTTTGAATTACGATACCATTTCCGGAAAATCCACATTTGGTATTAAGGCGATGAGCGTGGTGTTAACATGATCCGGCATTACCCTCTCCTCAAACACCCCCTTTACAAAGTTCACCATTTGGGTTTTCACTAACGCCCAGTGCTTTTGATAAAACCCCACATTCACTCCATCCGCTCCTGGTGCCTTATTAGGGTTCATGTTAAAAATCACTTGCTCGATCTCATACTCACACACCTATCTCCCCAGCGCTTCCAGTCTCCTATTCTCCAATTTTGAAAAATACCAATTGTGGGATAACCTCCAGTTTCTCCCACCCCCTCCTCACGATATAGATTGCCAAAAAAAATCTTGTACCATACCCCTTAGAACCTCTGGATCATCATACCATTGATCATTATCACCGCGTAAGCTCGTAATTTGGTTCTTTCTCCGTCGAACTATGGTCGACATATGGAAGAATTTTGTATTCCTGTCGCCCTCCTGCAGCCATTCTATCCTAGACCTTTGTCGCCAGTACATCTCCTCATGCTCTAGTATTTGATTATACTCATCCAACAGCTTCACCTATAGTTTTTCCAACTTACGCGAATACCGGTTGCCCAATATCCGTTAAACACCTTCCAACCTCACTTTATATCTCATTTTCCGTTGGAAAACATTCCCAAAGACTAATAAATTCCATTCTTTAAGCCTCATATTTAACGCCTACAGTTTCCCTTCTAACGTCTTCTCAGTGCCGTTCCAAGCCTCTGTAACTACCTTTTCACATTCCGGATGCGTGGACCAAGCTTGCTCCAATCTGAATGGTTTCTCCCCATTACTTTTTTGTGGAATCCCCTCCAGACAGACCTGTAACGGGTGATGATCTGAGTGAGTACGAACCATATGTTTGACTACTGCTCCTTGAAATTGTGCACGCCACAGACTATTAGATAACGTCCTGTCCAGTCGCTTCCTGATACTCCTAATCCTTTTCCTACGGTTCCTCCAAGTAAGCGGAGGACCACCACAATTCATATCCATTAACCCACCCTGCAAGAGTAACTTTGCAAGACTTGATTGGCTTGCTCTTCCTAGCAGTCGACCTCTCTTTTTCTCTTCTGAATTAATCACCTCATTCAGATCCCCCACTACCAGCCATGGAAAATTAATAGATTTATCTATAATGGAGAAATATTCCCATAAATATCTCCTTGTAGATGCATCTGGTGATGCATACACTGTTGATAACATCCACTGCTCTCCCCTCACTCCTTTGACTATCATATTAATAACTTGTCGATTTGTTGTTATTGGTTCCACTTTTCATTTGTGCTTGTTCCATAACACCCAAATACCTCCTGAAAATCCACAGGCCTCAACACAAATTTTATCTGTAAGTTGTGTGCTCTGGACAATTCAATATGCTTTCCCATTATCTGTTCTCTTTTTCACTAGTAGAAGAATCCCTGGGTCATATTCCCTTAGAATTTCCTTTAAATTCCTTCTAAAATTTGCATTCGTCGCACCGCGATAGTTCCAACTGATAATGTTCATAAAATTAGTGAAATTTGGGATTCAATCCCTCCTGCTCCTTATGCATATCCCGCTCCTGTATTTCCATGACATCTAATACTTCACTCGTATACCCAAGCCCCTTCCCTTCATTATGCTGGACCTGCGCAGGGTCCTCCGGGTCATCAATCATAACATCTCCCTTACCTTCCAACTCGTGTTCCTATCCCCATTTAGTAATCCGTACACCCTTGTCCTGTCCTTCCACTATTCTTCCCAAGAAGGTAACGTCTTTCTCATTTGTACTCTTAAAAGAGAAATCTCCTAACCTCCATTCCTTAAGATGCTCTTGGCTTGATGGCCACACACTGTCCTCCACCTTGTCCAAACTCTCCCCTTCCCGAATCCTCGAGCATTCACCCTGATTCCTTCCCCCAGTCATCTTCAAACCTCCTCTTTGCATTTTAACTACAGCCCCAGTCTTTTTCTTTGCGACGTCAATTCCATTCTTTGGTTGTCCATGCCTCTTTTTACCATTAAGCTCAACCCCAACCTGGGGGGGACCAGGAATCGAGCTAATATTCTCCTTTAGCACGGCACATGTATCTCTCTCCACTGGGGGTTGGTCGTCATCCTCCTCCCTGAGAATATCAAATCTTGAACCTGAAACTTCCTCCATCAGTCCCTTGCTTCCAAATCTGAAAATGTTTTCCTGAGACTTGGCGTTCTGACTCTCTCTCCTATCGCTGGCCTGATTCCATTGATGAGTTACCTGATCATCTTTCTGTCCAGTACCCGCCATATCTACCCCCTAGATCCCCCATGTTGTTCTACTCTATAACTCTTCCCTTTCCCCTTCGACGCTGCCTCCTAACCTCTTGATCTCTCCACTGGACCCGATAATTGCCTTCTAGCATTCCGTGAATCCGCAATCATCCATGGACCAAAGGGGTTAGTTTTTACTTCTTTAAACTCCTTCCCCTTGTTGACAGGTGCCGAACCTGTGCAATAATAATTACTAAAAAGTCCTAATTACCACCACAATTAATTATAGAACAAATCCAAGTACTGGAGTAGGGACCCTAGGTGTGAAATGGGTTACTTGATTCACCCTGTTTTCGAAAAGTTTGCTTGATCCGATATACCAGATTTGTCTATAAAAAATATTAATTTTGCGTACAATGGCAAGTAGGGTCGATTCCACAGGGAGCGGGTAAAAAATTATTTCTTTCCAAATTAGTAGAACGAAATTGTGGAATTTTCAATGGGAGACAAATAAAAATAAAAATAAAACAAACAAAATTCAAAACCAACTCACAAAGCACAAATTACTAAAAATAGCAATTACTAAAAGTTCTACCCAAAAGATCAACTGCTCAGACACGGTCAAATTAAATGATCATCAATGCAAAGATATTTCATCCATTCGTCACTAGATTGATTATAGTTATCAATAAGCTCTGATAACCAGTTCTTCCTTACTTTTTCGACAGTCAAGGTACGACCATTGACTGCTTCCCTAATCAGATAACAACTCTAGGTACGACTGTAAGAATTTAATTATCCAATTGCATTAAAGTTAGAAGAACCCAACCCTAACCAATAAACACGAATAGCCAATTATGATGGTAACTATTAGGTATCAACTAAACGAACAATTACGGATTCAATTTAGTAAATATGATAGTAGGCTATTAAATTAAATCAAATACCCAACCGTTGATATTCAATTAATAAAATACCCATGAACAATTAATCCAGAAAACGCACGAATAGCAATAAATTGGAAAAAATAATGAAGATTCGATTAGATCTCATAGATATTATGGACCGCGCTCTCGTGTCAACCTTTGGGTAGAGGAGAAAATTAACCGCTCCTCATCGTGTCAATCCAGCGTGATTTAATTGAATTCATTCAATTAATTGCCGAAGAATTGGAAAGGGGAAACAACGAAGGAACAGTTTTTCTTATTTTGCGTCTACGCTGGAGTCGCGAGCACAAGAGAAATCTCACGAAATATTATCTGTAGCAAAAGTAGAAGCAAAAACATCTCAGTCGTACCAGGCCAAAAGCCAACAAGAAAAGTCTCCAATGTCTGACCGCTAGGAAAAAGGGAGACGAAAAGCTAATCTAATTGCGGCCGAAGAAAACAAAAGCAAAGAAAAAACATCTGACCAAAAAAATAGAAAGAGAAAACTAAAGCTAAGGTCTTGATGATGTTCTGAATCTCGCTTCCTTTCTTCTCTTTATAGCCGTCGCCCAAGAAAAGTAAAAGAGACGTCTGAGGCAAAGCTTTGTCTCAAGAGTTCTGATCCCATGCTTCGGGTTCACGTGGACCGGGGTCCGTCTTTCGGTAGCGTCTACCTTTTCTGGCATGGCCACGCCCTAAGATGAAGGGTCTTCTGAAAATTTACCTCGAGAGATCATCTTTAATGCCGACCACCTATAATTCACACAAATATCGAATATGAGTGAAATTCCAATTCTTAGCACCGTGAATAGCCAAAATTAGGACGAAATAACAGTGAAAAATGTGCTAAATAACTACTCTATCACTTGTCTGACTTTTATTCCCCCCTTCTGCATCACCCTGTTGATGAGTAGGGCAATCATTCACCCCATGCCTGTACCTTCCACAGTGAAAACAAATGAGATGGAGCCCTTCATACTATATTACTTGGAGTTCATCATTAATCCAGACAAATGGAACCAACGGTTTGCCCAAATCAGCCTCTATACAAACTCTTGCGTATTTTCCTCTTGTTGCCTTCGCAGTCTGCTGGTCAATTTTCACTGCTTACCCCAGTAAAATCCCCAGTTTCATAAGAAACTCCTCCGTGTAATACTCAACTGGCAGTCCTGGCACTCAAAACCATACCAATGTAGAAATTATGTTGTGCCTGGACGCCCGAAACTCTGGTCTCCATTTACTGATAGTCACATAATGACCCTAAATTATCCAAGGCCCCCCTTTGAGTACTTTGTTATAGTCCTCTTTATATCGAAATCTTGCGATAAAATATCCCTCCTCCAGATCTGTGAGTTCAAAGTCCTATTGCAGTTTCCAGAGATCTCCCACTTTTTGCTCTAGAGTCTTAAACTCCACCGTATTTCCTAACACTTTCAGTATCAGACTTCTTCTCCATGGCTTCCAGCTCTCCCTCCTCTCCGTTTCTCCTGAGTATAGCCTTGGGAAAACCGAATTTTCATTGCTTTCTCTAGGCTTCAGATTCATCTCCATGTCCGTCAGATCATCCAGCACATCCCTTTCTTCATCGAATCCCTCATAAAATTTCCCCTTACTTTCCCTAAATCGTAATGTATCCGCAAAGGATCGACAATTCCAAGCCCCCGCACTCAGATTATGCGCTTCCTCTTCCCCTGTGAGAGGGCCAGGGACTGGAATCTGCTCACCAGCTGATCTTTTTTTAAATTTCTTGACTGTCCGACGCCAGATCTCATCGTCCTCCTTCAGTGCGCCTTCTGGACTCGGCTCCCCATTCTCGCTCTCTACCTCCATCGTATCGAATTAGCTAAACTTTATAGTATTTGAGCAACGGCTCAATCATTTCTTTTCCTTTTCACTATCGTCATTTGTTTTCCTTTCCCTTCATTTCTTTTAATCTAAACAGTGCCTTATGATAATTTTATTCTTTAACATAAATTAGGAGATAAATTGAGAATAAGATATTTATACTTTAAACATGAATTAGGAGATAAACTGAGAATAAGATTTTTTTTTTGTTCAGAATAAGATTATTTACCAATAGAGTTACAGGAAGTAAATTGAGTATAAAATTCTTTAGTGGTAGGATTGTAGGAAGTAAATTAAATATAAAATTCTACAATGGTATAGTTATAGGATGTGTTTGGATTGCAGATTTTCAAAAAAAAATTACTACATTTTCCATAGACACATTTTTCAATCACTTTTTTATCTTATATATAACAAATTATTACAGTAATTTTTCTACACAAAGTCAAAAAAAAAAATGCAATCCAAACAAAGCCATAGTTTTTATGATAATCTATAATTGCCAACTGATGATAATTATGTATTTTCACAAACTATTAATCCCTGAGAGATAGTGGTTAAAAATAATAATGTTAAGGATCAACGTACAAGTCGCTCCAAAATTTAAAAAGTGTTTAATCTGTTAACCCTTTAATTTATATTATATCTGGAAATTTTAAAAGAGTTTAGTGCTATTAATCCTTCGAAGTATAACTGGCCATAAAATTTAAAAGTGGGTGATGCAATGACCTATAGTTTAATTTAATTTATTGAACAAAACATTTGTTTTATCGTCCAATGATAACTTTGAATTTGTCCTTTTTTTGTCAATTTTTTAAAACTTGATCTTATAATATATACGTGAATGATGCTACTAGTTATTTGTAGCAACAATTATTCAAAATGTTTATCACATTTCATCAGATGAAATTTTTTATAATTTATTTTTAAAATATTAATTTTATATCTCTTACAAAATTAAATTAGCAAAATTTGGTTTCAGTACAAGTTCTCGATAACTTTTGAATTTGAAATCACCACGTAACCCATATGTAGTCATTTTTTAATGCAAAAATACTAGATCTCGTTGTTTTAGTGGAAAAAATGAGAATGAGTTGGATTCGATCCCAAATCAAGGTGATCTTGTATAATTTTTAGGGGTAAAGATGAATGTGGATCGAGTCATTTGTTTAATTACAAATATAATCTAATCTTTTTACTCCTAACGAACTATAACTATGCGTGGGTGACATGATGAATTCAAGATGAAAAATGATTGAAAATTTAGGTTGGAATTAAATTTTACCAACTTAATTTTATAAGGGATCTAAAGTTATCATTTTAAAAAAATGAAGGACAAAAAAATTTATTTGACAAAATATAAGGCATATTTTGAACGATTTTCTCTTACTAGTACTACTACGCAATTGTTTGTAATTCTTACTGGAAACTTTTTTTTTGAATTATTATTACATTACCCCTTTTGACTATATCACTACTATCAATTTATCCCATAACATTATCTTTTAGTCACTTTACTTTCATAGATAATTTAACTCAACATGTTAACAAATTTTAAATAACAATATACTTTTATTTTATAGCATTACTATCTTGATATTATCGTTTGATCCTTTTAAATTAGAGTGATACAACCACTTTACTCTATAACATTATTTTTAAGTGTTTTATCATCATTAAACTAACTAGTATGATCAAAATTTTTTAAGTGGATTTACCTTCTTTTTTTTTATATATAATTAAAAGTAAAAATGTTAGAATGGTTATTCTTCATTTTTCTTTCACTCTAAGAGTTCAAAAAATATAAAAAATAAAAGAATTTTCTCTAATTTCTTTTTTCACACTTATTAATATTATGAAAAGAAAATGAGATAGAAAGTTAGATTTTGCAAAGAAAAAAAATAACGAAAAATCAAGTATTAGTGTATTACTTTATTGTCATCGAAATCAGAATTGGAATTAGGAGGTAAACAAAAAAATAAAAATATTGAATTCTTTCTTATTTATATTTTTTTAAAAAGAATTGAGATCTCTTTCTCTCTCTTTATCTCTCTCCTATCTTTTTATTTTTTTAATATTAATAAGATTGTCAAGAAGAAAAAAATTAATATTTTAACTTTTTTCCTTAATAATAAAAATGCAAAAAATTGCTCTAAATTTTTATATTATTTTTATTATACAAAGAGGAGTGTACTTTATTTTAAAATTTGCTAAATTAGTTTAATGGTAGGATAAATTATCTAAAAAATAACTCTAAGGGGTAAACTGATAATACGTTTATGAGGATAAATTGATAATAATCTAAGAATTAAATATGTCTTTTCAATTGAATTGATAAATTTTATTAAGTTTGATCATTAGTCTTGAGTGATTAAAAATTGATATTCAAGGGAAAATTAGCACCAAATAATAAGGGAATAAAATGATAATAACTCTTTTCGGTTAAAATGAAAACTGAAAATGGGAAAATGGACTCGTGGGAGGCATCGGGGTGGGGGAGTCGGTGGCAGTGCACCATCAAAGTAACAAAACAAGCTCCAAGGTGGGACGGAGGGAGGGAGAGAAAATCATCCTGAGTCTTTGATACGGAGCGGTGGGTTGTCTTTCTAATTTTTTGGGATCGATCGGACGGCCAGATCTGACCTTTTTGTTTGCTTGGCCTTCCCCTTCTGCTTCTTCTTCTTCTTGTTGTTCCTCCTCCTCTGCTGCTGCACCAATTTATGGTTTACCCAACCCAAACACCCTCTTTCTCTCCATCTCTTATTCAATCTCCACCATTACACCTACATTAATTCCTATCATCCGACCTACGCCGTTAACGCTTCATCCAGATCCACAATTCCCAGATTCCGCCTTTCTCTGCTCTCTCCCAACCCAACAAAACCCTCCATCTTTTCACGTCCCAAAGTTTGCCCCCCCACCCTTCCCTCTCTCTTTGTTTTTCTCCTTTTTTTTGTCCGATTAGATGTTTTGGCAGGGCTCTCATGATTCGCATTCTCCATAATTCATATTTGGTATCATCATCTTCTTCTTCTCAATTCTCATTCATCTGTATTGTTGGGGTTATTCCTTATTTGTACAACGGTTATATACTCTCTTCTTTTTCATTTAATTTCTTCTGTCTCTTTCTTGTTTTGCAGTTTTGGTATTTGCAGTTTAGAAAAGCGCCAAGCAGGAGGAGGTTTGTTTTTCGCTTGTGGACTTTCAGCTTCTGTTTGATCTCCCATTTTTCTCGACTTTCGAGTTTTTTCTGTCTTTCCCTGCCTCTGCCTTTGCTGCTAAACACCCACCTCCCTTTTGCCAGAATACCAACCACCACACTCTAAGGAATACCACAACAGCCGAGAGGTCAGCTCATTGTATTTCTTCCCCTTGTAACCTACCTCCTTTTCCGGGGTGCTTCAGTATCTGCTGCTTGTCCACAACAAACCTCATTTCTTTTATTGAAATTTTAGGAATAAAACAAGATTTTTTTTTTCGATTTCCTTGACTTTTTGTGCGAGCAAGTTTATATATGTGATTTGAAAACCGGGGGAAAAATAAAAGCAATGGTTCATTGAGCATGAATATGTTGGTTTCTCCCTTGCGTACTTTTTGTCCTTGCTTCTTTAAGTCAAATGTGGACAGTATCTTGGACGGAAAGTCCATCCCCAATAATGGGTGTCCTCCGGGATTTTTGTACCAAATGGCGGGGTAGTGTGTAGAACACACGTATTGGGCAGTCAATTTTGTAGCTAATCTCTGCTCTAAATCTTCTGCTATATTAATGTGTTGTTTTAGTTTTATCATATCCGATGTGTCTCTGTTGGATGACTATTATTTATGACTTCGGGCAAACCATTGCTATCTTCATCTGAGCCACCTGACCTTTATTCTCATCCTCACCTCCTTAAACGTCATACTACCTCATCACCACCTTCCTCAGCAGCAGCAGCTTTTGACGACCCACCTCAACATACCAGTAGTATTACCACTCTGTACACTTTGAAGGAGGACGAGTTGGACTCCAATTTTTCCCCACTTAGACAGATAGGTTTTCCTGACGAATCTGTTCGACATCCTGCTGCCACAAAGGGGAAGGGGTTCCGTTCCGCTGAGCTTCGGTTCCACAGGGAATTTCAACTGGAATGTCCTTGGAGAGAGAGGAAACGCCTGGTTTCGTGGGGTGGAGCCATGGATGCTCACCATGATATCGCTTCCTTTGAAGTTTCTTCAGTGCAATCCCAGGTGGCTTCATCTCAGTCAACTTCTACCAGAGCCACCCAACTTGACTTGTCTAGGGCTTCATCTCGGGTTCAGGATAAGTTGAATAAATCTCAGAGGAGTAGACACAAGAGCATGCCGTTGGAAGATAACTTAATGCACCACGATAACCCTAGATTGATCCACATTAATGATCCAAAGAAGACTAACCATAAATTTGAGTTCTCTGGGAATGAGATTCGAACCAGCAAGTATACAATTTTAAACTTTCTGCCTAAGAATCTCTTTATTCAGTTTCACCGTGTTGCCTATTTATACTTCCTTGCCATTGCCGCACTGAACCAGCTTCCGCCTCTTGCTGTTTTTGGGAGAACAGTCTCTCTTTTTCCTCTGCTTTTTGTGCTTTCTGTAACAGCTATAAAAGATGGTTATGAGGATTGGCGAAGGCATAGGTCAGACAGGAATGAAAATAACCGGGAGGCTCTAGTGCTTCAAGCGAGTGAATTCCAACGTAAGAGATGGAAAAATATGCAGGCTGGTGAGGTTGTGAAGATCTGTGCTGATGAGAGCATTCCTTGTGATGTGGTGCTGCTTGGGACCAGTGATCCAAGTGGAATTGCTTATATACAGACAATGAACTTGGACGGGGAGTCAAACCTGAAGACCCGGTATGCTAGGCAAGAAACAAGTAAGTTAGTTCTTGAAGGGACTACCATTTCTGGGGTTATTAGATGCGAACAACCTAACAGGAATATATATGAGTTCACAGCCAACATGGAGATAAAGGGCCAAAGGTTCCCACTAACCCAATCAAACATCATTTTGCGTGGCTGTCAGCTGAAGAACACAGAATGGGCAATTGGCGTGGTGGTTTATGCCGGACAGGAGACTAAAGCTATGCTAAACAGTGCTTCATCTCCATCTAAAAGGAGTAGATTGGAGACCTACATGAATCGAGAAACTTTTTGGTTGTCTGTTTTCCTCTTAACCATGTGCCTGGTTGTTGGAATAGGGATGGGTCTGTGGCTTAAACGCCATAAGAATCAGCTTGATACATTACCTTATTACAGGAGGACTTACTTTCCAAATGGAAAATCTCCTGGCAGGCCATACAAATTTTATGGGATTCCGATGGAGGCCTTCTTCTCCTTTTTGAGTTCTATAATAGTTTTCCAGATAATGATACCCATATCTCTCTACATCACCATGGAGCTGGTTCGGTTAGGACAGTCATATTTCATGATTGGAGACAGGCATATGTATGATAATAGCTCCGGTTCAAGGTTCCAGTGCAGATCCTTAAATATTAATGAGGATTTAGGTCAAATCCGCTATGTATTTTCTGATAAGACAGGAACACTTACTGAAAACAGGATGGAATTCAGAAGAGCGAGTGTTTGCGGGAAAAGTTATGGCAGGTCCCTTTCGATGACTGGGACATTGGAGGACACCGATATAGGAGGTATAACTAATACATGTGATTTATGTTCTGAATACATACTCAAGTTTGTTGAACTTTTTCTAATTGTTATGTCATTCTCCTTTTTTTTTTGGCCAAGATAGTATGTGAATACATGTTTTGAATTCATAGAAATTTAATTATTCATAGTGCTTTATGATCAATATGTTAATTTTTCTGTGAAAAGGGTACTTTCAATATGAATTTGACCTGAACGATTGAGTCCTGGAGCAATCGGATTAGGAGGTAGCATGCCTGATAATGATAAGTGGCGTAATGAATACTAGACTTGCACTTATAGGAGCTATTGCCTTCGTTTGGACCTTTTTGAATATTCTTTAAACTTGATTTGTGAAATCTTCTGTGTATGACTTAATGAAATTTACACCTCTATGTTTTTTCCCTGATTGCTATAGTAATGCTTTGTGGAAATTTATGTGCTGTGTGGAGCTTCTCTTTTGCTTGGAGAAGCCATATATGCTTAGTTTTTGCTATTTGCTAAATGACAACTAATATTCAGTATTACGCAGGGGAATAAGGGTCTAGCTTACATGCCATGGTAAATGGATATCATAGTTTAACCTTATAATTTACCTTGTTCAGTTGTCTTCATTTAATTGCTTGTAATGGGGCTTGCTAAAATCTCTATGTCATATGGAACTTTGCAACCTTCTTGATGTATAACTTATAAAATTTGCTTGGGATCCTTTCTCTATCATCTTTGGGCTGACCAGTAGTTTTGCTGCTACGGAAAGGAGGCTCACCTGACTTGCAGCTTATTCTGTGGTTCTTTCGGGGATCAGAAAAATTTAATCATTATGTTTGAACAGAATTTTATTTCAGTAGTGTGTGCTTAATGCTGTCTCTAAATGATTGTATATTTTATTTCAATGAACTTGTGCAGGGGAACGAAAGTCAGCCCTCCTGGGCCGAAGAAGATGGAAGCTTAAATCAGAAATTACTGCTGATTTTGAACTACTGGAATTGTTGCATAAAGAACTGTCAAGTGAGGAAAGAGCATTTGCGCATGAGTTTTTTCTGACACTGTCAGCATGTAACACTGTGATTCCTATTCTTGCTCGTAGTCCATCTTCAAGTGAAGCAGAAAGTGACTGTTGTGACAATGTTGTGACCATTGATTATCAGGGTGAGTCACCTGATGAACAAGCCTTGGTTGCTGCTGCTTCTGCTTATGGTTATACTCTTTTCGAGAGGACATCTGGGCATATTGTGATTGATGTGAATGGTGAGAAACTAAGGTAGAGGACTTGCTCAAATCAGGTTTCTTCTTTTACCTGTTTTTATAATGGTGACCATTTCTGCCCCAGAAAATTATTTGTTAATATGTTTGGTCTTATGTTGCCTTTTAAAAGAATGTTGAAGATTAAAAGAACGAGGGTCTTTGCTCTGAACATGCCATACACTGTCTTAAAACTCTAATTTGATTGGTGTTTGTGGTGTTGCCAAATACTCTCACCCCCTTGCTACTTTGCGTATTCATTTATGCTGTATTTTCAGAGCTAATTAATTTTTTTGATCATTTGTAGTCTCTGCCATATTTTAGGTATTTGAATTACGCCTGTCTGATATAGTTTCATTTGTTAATGATGGTCTGCATTCTTCAAGGGTTCTAAATTCATAAGATGAAAAGTAGATGGTGAGATGTAAAATGGAGGAAATGGTTAATCTCTATGCATATTGAGGGTAAATTGGATTGGATGACTGGGAAAACATGAATGGTCTTAGGTTTTGTTGACAATATGAATTAAGATGCAATATTGAACCCTCCTAAATTGTGTGGCAGGCAAAAAAAAAAATTTGTTGTTTTCTCTCTGCCTTGCTTATTTTTCTAGTTGATTGTTCCCTTGCTCTGAGCTGCAGATTTAATTGCACTGAAGTGATGCTTCTTTCACTTAGCAAGGTGGAGAAAATTTGAACTTGTTACACTTTCAAACTTTCAAGTTAAGCTCAACATGGTGTGTTGTGAATTTGACTTTCGTAACATAGATTTGTGACTCCTGGTCAGAAGTTCATCATAATTGCCGTTTCTCTGGCTCGGTGTTGCTATCTTCAAACTGGACCTCTAATTCTATTAAGCCATCTTCAGCTGGGCATAAAATTTTTCCCATCTGAAGAAGGATTTCGTTGTGGTGACATGTCACTCATACCTAAGAAGAATGACCTCACACTCATCAATAGGGCCTATTATCAGTTGCTTTTAGCTTTTTTATGCTGATTATGAATTATTTGATTTCTGACATGTGTGTATTTGTCTTTGGTAACGTAGATGTGTGATTTGCAGTCAGAATTTTATCATAATTACCTTTCTCTGTCTAGGTGTTGCTACCTTCTAACTGGACCTCCAATGCTAATAAATCATTTTTGAGTTGGGTTTAAATTCATTTCCATGACCTCGCATTTGCAAATATGGCCTGTTGTTGGTTGCTTTCAGCATTTTACGCTGATTATGAATTATTGATTGCTGAAAATGTGTTGAAAAAAAATTGAAAGCATTTTTTTCCTTCTAGGTGTTTTTAAAAAGCTAAAAGCTGTGATTAAACCTCAAGGCCTGCTTTGCATAATCGGCTTATAATAAATGAGAAGTCAAAAGTAAAGAAGACCATCTCAAAAAGCTTCTAGCTTTAAAGAAAATTACAATGAGCTGATTATAAGCACCCCAGTATAGGCAGATGGCAAATTAGCCCTGCCAAGTACCAATCTCTTTCTGAAAAGTGGGGTTATTTGGGCTCTCTAGATGCCACCTTCGATGTTAAACTGTCATTGACTGTTGGTATTAAGAACATAAATAGATGGAATGCGCTATTGCACTTGGGTTACCAAGATTAAGTCTCTATTACCCAAACCTTGTCCAATTATAGATGTCAACTACCCCTGGCTTCTTTTCTATTTATGCGTATTGTGGTCTTTTTCTACAACTACTGTGTTTCTTTTTTGCCTTTTTATATTTTGGCCTTTACATTTAGGTTAATCTTGTTTTTGTAGCTTAGCCTATCTTATAATGTCCATGGATAGTGCAGGTTGGATGTTCTGGGTTTGCATGAGTTTGACAGTGTGCGTAAAAGAATGTCTGTGGTTATCAGATTTCCAAATAATGATGTCAAGGTATTGGTGAAAGGGGCTGATACGTCGATGTTCAGCATCTTAAGGAAAGATGCTGCAACAGATGATCATAGAAGACATGCAACTCAGAGTCATTTGACTGAATATTCATCTGAAGGTTTACGTACCCTCGTAGTTGCTTCCAGGAATCTTACAAGCGAAGAGCTTAAGGAGTGGCAATGCATGTACCAAGATGCTAGCACATCGTTGACTGACAGAACTATAAAGCTGCGTCAGACAGCATCACTTATTGAATGCCACTTAACTCTTCTTGGTGCCACAGCTATTGAGGACAAGCTACAAGAAGGTGTTCCGGAAGCTATCGAGTCTCTGCGACAGGCTGGAATAAAAGTGTGGGTACTTACTGGAGATAAGCAAGAGACTGCAATTTCGATCGGTCTTTCTTGTAAGCTATTGACGGCAGAAATGCAACAGATTATAATAAATGGAAATTCTGAAAATGAATGCAGAAAACTCTTGTTTGATGCAAAGGCCAAATATGTTTTGAAGTATCGCAATAACCAGGATTTGAAATGGACAAGAGATGCAGAAAGAGACTACCTTGAGATTCCTGTTGATATAAAGTTTCCGAACTCTCCCCAGCAGCACGGTGGACTGGAAGAAGGATCTTTACACGCATCTTTAGCTCTCATAATTGATGGGAGTAGCCTGGTATACATATTGGAGAAGGATCTGGAATCTGAGGTATGAATTCTTCTTGATCTTTTTAAAGATTTAATGTGATATTTTCAGTTCTGTGCAAAGTTTTGACCATGTTGTATTTTTAGTGTTTATTTTCAGATTTCCTTGAGTTCTATGGACAGTTTCATGAGTCGGAGATTTGCTTACTACTCTCATAATGCTATCTTACTTGGTATTGTTGCTAATGTTTCTACAGTTATTCGACATTGCAACTGCATGTAGGGTTGTGCTATGCTGTCGTGTTGCACCTCTGCAAAAGGCTGGGATAGTTGACCTAATTAAGAGTCGGACTGATGATATGACTCTTGCAATAGGTGATGGTGAGTTGATTATTTAAGATAATTTCTTTTTTGGTTTTATTTTTGTGCCGTGGAACCGAATTATCAGTCACAGGAGATGGTGTGTTTAGTTTTTTGTTTCTACATGGGAACTGATAATTTTGCTTTGCAAGACTGAATTTAGCGATCAAGGTATTCTTAACTGCTTTTCCTGTGTGCTGTTTTAATTTAGGTTGGATAGGATAGGTTTTGTAGGAGGATAGAAAAAGGCAAGTAAAAGCTCCAAAGTCCTAGCAAGGCCTTCCAGAATAATTAAACCATTTAGGTTAATTTGCTTGTGCCTGGATCCAATTTTTCCCTTTTTGGCAGGGGCAAATGATGTTTCCATGATCCAAATGGCGGATGTTGGTGTTGGAATATGCGGTCAGGAAGGGCGTCAAGCAGTGATGGCATCAGATTTTGCTATGGGACAGTTTCGCTTTCTGCAGCGCTTGCTTTTGGTGCATGGGCATTGGAATTATCAACGGATTGGTTATTTGGTTCTCTACAACTTCTACCGAAATGCTGTTTTTGTACTCATGCTTTTCTGGTGTGTCAAGTTTCTCTTGGTTGTGTGTTGTGTTGTTCTTGTCCTTTCCATCAATATATTGAAGTCCCTGTTCAGCAATAATTTTTTTTCTTCAAAATTTTGACTATCTTAATAACTTCTGTGAAAATTGGTTACAAGCTTAAAGAGTATTTGACAGAACAAGCTTGTGAAAGCTGACCTGCTGCATATGCTTACTTTTTCCTAATTGTGGGAAAGTTTTAATTGATTTTCTGTGATGCTTTTTTACTTTTCCATTGCCAATTATTACTCACATCAATGGTGTGGATCAATCGGCTACTGTTTCTTTCCAAATAACTAATCTTTAGATTTGTTAAATGCTTTCTTATTCATTTGACTAATCTTTTCCATATGCTTTCTGATAAAAAAGGAGGAAAGGGGGCTGTGGTAGTTCGGACTAGGGTTTGGAAAATGCTAATGGAGTAGCATTATCATGATTTGTTAAATCGCTTGCTATCAGGTGTTCCCCGCACTGTGTTGACTATTTTACCGTGCGTTATGTTCTTGAGTTTCATGGTTGGAATGACTGCCATCATTTTGATTTTTCTTGATTCTTGTCTGGATGATTACTCTTGCTATACAGGACATCCTTTAGTTACCTTCATTTTACTACAATTTCCAGGTATATATTGTGCACAGCGTTTTCGACTACCTCTGCCTTGACAGACTGGAGTAGTGTGTTTTATTCTGTTATCTATACTTCTGTGCCTACAATTGTTGTTGGTATTCTTGACAAGGATCTAAGTTGTAAGACACTACTCCAGTATCCTAAACTCTACGCTGCAGGCCACAGACAGGAGAGTTACAATATGCGCCTCTTCTGGCTCACAATGATTGACACACTATGGCAGAGCCTTGTTCTTTTTTATGTGCCTTTGTTCACCTACAAGGACAGCAGTATTGACATTTGGAGTATGGGTAGCTTGTGGACTGTTGCTGTTGTTATCCTTGTTAATATTCACTTGGCAATGGATGTTCAGCGATGGGTAATATACACTCACCTTTCCGTATGGGGTTCAATACTCATCACTTATGGCTGTGTTTTGGTATTGGATTCTATACCTACATTTGCCAATTACGGGTTAGTTTATCTGCAATCTCATAGTTGCCAATTACACAACAGATAATTACATCTCTGGCATTCTATAGTCTCAGACCTTTTTGCTTGTATGTTTGCAGCACAATATACCATCTGGCAAAGTCGCCTATGTATTGGCTCTCCATTTTGCTTATAACAGTTCTCGGATTGCTTCCTCGCTTTGTTCTTAAAGTTATATATCAAACTTTCTGGCCTTCAGATATCCAGATTGCTAGAGAAGCAGAGATACTGGGAAAGAGACCTTGTTATCTTGGATCAAGGCCAGATCAAGGCTCAAGCTGACTTGTCATCTCTTGGGTCAATTAACCTTGTTTTGATAGAGCTTCTCTTCCATTTGTTGCATATGTGGCTTTACCCATGAAATTCCAGAGAAAAGGTGATGCAAGAGCAAATATCTAGTTTTGTTATAACCCTTTCTCATGGAGAACAGTATTTATGCAATTATGTCATCACTTACACGGCAAAACCTAACACTGATTAAACAACTAGTTAACTAACACAGCATTAAACATGGTGATTCCCATCTAAACTGGTCTATTATTTATGTTTTTTTAGAACTGCAGCTAGTTTGAAACCTATATATATTTATAGGATAACTTTTCTATATTGACATGAAACATGTTTCTTTTAGTTTATTATCCCTAAACCAGTGTTTAAGGTAGGCAGAGTGTGTTTGGCCATTCTTAGGCAAAGTGGTAGTACTGTTTGTAGGATTTTCCCCATTATGGGTCTGCATATGTATTTTGGGTACCCATGTATTTATTTTCATATGCTAAGACAAGCATATTTCTTTGTATTATATTATTTTCCACAACCTCAGTGATCTACTTCTTTTATTATTTAGTTTGATTTCATAGGTCCAAGATTGTATTGAATGAACAGGAATTTGGGTTTTCTCATTGCAAGTGTTTAATCAAGCATTTATATGATGGTTGGTCTATATTACTATTGCTTCCTCAGACGTTGGTGAGTGCACACCTAAGGGAGGCAGTCGTAGTCAATCATTGCCAATAAGTTCTTGGCGGATTGAAATGTTGTTATTAATTTCATTAGATTCCTCAGTTGTTTAAGATCTGAACTTTGGATGACTAGGAGTGATGCATGAAAGTATAGTTCGCTTGCATTTATTGAATCATCATGACTGGGGAAAAGGTTTCACAAAAGCAAATGTGCGCAGAATATATTTCCCTCTGGGTCCAAGTAATGGAAATGTGAACTGAAGTGGGAACTCTGCAGTCTCGTAGCAGTTGATATTGACCTTTCCCTGTTCTATCTGCATGATAAGGGTGACATTGCAAGTGATGGGAGCTCAAAAATTCCATCCACTGAGAAGGTTCCTTGGCCAAGCACAACTGAACCTATAGGACTCTTTTTGGTGATTCTGATACGCACCCCTTAGATCAATTGAATGGATTTGTTAGTGTCATTGTCGAGACAGTAGTTAGTACCTCTTTCGTCATGAATTTTTAGGAGACTCCTATTAGAAACAGCATTACTAAGCATGGAAATGTGGTGGACCAGGTCATTTAGACAAGTACTACCTTTTTATGCTAACCAACATGTGTTGTGTGTGTGTGTATATATATATATATATATATTTTTGTGTGTGTATGACTGTGCGCGTGTATGTACACGTCTGTCTTCCCTCTCTTCCCTCTTTTCAACGTTTGGAATTAGTTTACTATGTCTTATTTTTGGCACTTGTTCTGAACTTTGATGCCTGATATTAGGGATAAGTAGAGGAAATTGACCTATAGACTCTACAGAAATTGTTGCTTCCATTGCATAAGATTTGATGGGCTATCTTTTCCTACAGGAAAATCCTGATGATTTTGACTTTTGAATGTTTCAGATGAGTTGTTGGACCTGTTGCCACTTGCCAGCTCACGTAAAACCACTGCTCACATAATATGGTTATGAAAATTATAGGCTTGTTTCACACCAAAGGGATGTGCGATCGTCCAGATGAGGGCTGGGACTGGATTGGGGAGAACGCAGTTGAAAACCATGCTAATGCCTAGTTGGTGGGGCTGTTGGCTCAAGTGCGATGCAAAGCTGATTATGAGGGATCAAAATTTAGGTAATTTTCTTAAGTTGGGGCAAAGGGAAATTTACCCGGGAGGGGAGAGAGAGAGAGAGAGAGAGGTGTAGTGTACAGTAGTGTAATGTAAAATCAAAGGTTGTGTTAAATGAGCTTAGATAAACTGTTTGGGTACACTAAAGGCCGACGTTTCAATCTTAAAACAACCTAGTATAAAGAAAGAGTGCCTCTCCTAGTCAGGAGAGAATGAAGTGGGTATGTAATTGTTTGGGACTTGATGGTAAATGGTACTCTGTGGACGAGTAAGTCTAAAAGGAGATAATGAGGTGCTGACGGATCCCTTTTGCTCGAGGAGCTTACGGGTTCCAGCTCATTAAAAAAAAAATAAGCATTAGCCGATCCATTCTCCCAACAAAGCACACTGGTCAAGAAGGTTTTGGAGTTAATCTTTATCATTCGGCGATTGAAAAGGTTTTTATTGACTCTCTTTCCTTCTTCTTCTTCTTTGAAGAGGGTGCTTTTGTGTGTGTGGGGTATTTTTTTTTTTTTTTTTTTTTTGGTGTGTTTTGTGGTGGGGGTGTCTTCCTATACGTTAGAAGTGGAATATTGTCGAGTTAGCAAGGGAAATGTAGCATTTGTAGGAGTAAAGCTCTACGGATACTTGTAGATGTGTAACCTGACGCTGTTATGTGTTTGTGAACTTTGTCCTCCTTTGCACATCACATGCAATCTTAAAAAGAGTCTCTGCCGAAGAAGAATCTGAAAAGGAATTTTCATAGTTTAGTTATCGTAAATGAATCTAGCGGGAAATGGGTTAAAAAAGTATGTAGTCAGGATGATTTGGGAAAAGAGGGAAAAAAAAAGCATGTGATTCCGCCAATGACTTCAATAGGAGGTGTATACCAGTGCTACATCCCCTGCCATATAATGCACATACATACGTATGGACGCACGCCCATATGGTCTCGAAAGGAAAGCGCTATTTCATTTTAGTTCAGCGAGACGTAAAAATCGGGTTCCGATCGTTTTACATCGATTTCGACGCAGCAGCGATCACAATTTCAGCGAAACGTAAATTTTGAAATATTTAATATTCTAAAAATTAAGAATAATATTCAAAAATATGTTAAACAAAAATAATAAAAAAATCAATCATATGCCTTTCCCATCCTTTCAACGATTCCGAAAATCATTCCTCGACTCTTGAATCCCTGCTTCGATGTATCTCATCTTTCAACGATCAACAGATGAGTAAATTTGAGTTTTTTGATACCTAGACTAGATAGATATTCTCCTTAATTTGGATTGACATGAAACTTTAAATCTGTATGGTTACTGCTAGTGATTATTGATACTGTAAAGAAGGCGGCGTCGCATGGATACAATACGAATACAGTCACTCAGCTGTCAGCACTAGTAGTGACTGAGTAGAGAAGTACTAGTTGTTGTTGAGTTTGGAGGATAACGATGTGGCGGGAAAGTCATGCTCGTAGAGTGCCCCAACAAGAGCCAGAGAGGAGAGCGCCAAAGGGATAGGGCCGAACATCACCCACAGGAGTAGGGGGAAGGTGATGCACAGGACCCGGTTCCCCACCACTGCCAACCTGAACCCTCTCTCCATGATGCTCCGGGTGTACTGCGGGTCCGGGGAGGAGGACAACTCCCTGTCCATCCCCAAGGCGTTCACCAAGAAGTTGGCATCGATCAAGCACCCAAGCCCCATCGCGCTGCACAAGAAGCTAGCCAACAGCAAGATGGACGCCGACCCACACTTGAGTGCAACGATCTTCCCCGATTGTAGCCCCCCCAAAAGTATACTACTACTGCTGGTGCTGGAATATTGCGGTGGCTGCGGTCCCTCGTGAAACCTCGGGCTCGGGAGGAGGTGATTTGCTCCGTCGAAGGAGTTATTGGCGAGAGCCGCCAGGCACAGGCTTATTGTAATGGTCACAATAGCCGTCAGTATAGTCGCCATTAATGTGTTTCTCAGACTTTGCACGGCCAGCATCCCCTTCTTCTCATCTCCCTGCACCTTGGAAAAGAACCCAACCCAAAAAAATAACAAAAATGAGTCCTGGCTATATATAGTACACAAGTACTACAACTTCACTCGCTAGCCAGCATTAGATAGAGCAGTAAAAAAAAAATTATGGTACTACCTCACGTAATGGTTAAATGAGCGAGTGACAAAAAAATAACTAGCAAGCACGGGATGATATGATAACTCTCTAATAATAATCCTGATGGTAGCAGTAGCAGTAGAAGTTGTTTTGGGACCATATACTAAATAGGTTTTGCTTGCCTGGTTGAGGTGTTGCAACCAAGATCTTCTTTTGATCGAGTTGAGGCCTATGGTGGCAAGACAGGGTTTACGCCTCAATCTGTGCCAGAGATAAGCGTGGTAGCCGATTGTAATGAAGAGGCTTGTGGGTACTAATATGACATCCAACAACAGTATCACTCCGGCGGCTCCCATGTGGATGTAGATGTAGATATAGATGTATTTATGTTTCTTGCAGAGGCTGACTGCAGAGGCAGCGGCCCGTCCGTGAAATGGAGAGAACGGACAGCAGAAACGTTGATTAGCCAGCCGCTTCCAGTTTCCACCACATAACACATTCATTCATTCATGGATTGATAGTTTAGTTGAATTGCTAATGCCACTTTATATGGACACCTCAAAGTCTCCAAGTGTTAGGTCACTTTCTCCTTATTATTATTATTCTTCTTTTTTAATTTCGAATCGTGGTGGTAGTTTCAAGTTTGGTTTGGTGGACATTGATTAATGGACACTCTCTACACATCGTGGAATCTGATTAAATCTGGAATTTGCTTTTTCTGATGATACGTACGTACGAGCGGACCCGCACTGCCCTCCCTGGTGCTGTGACCACTTTCCAACAGAAGAAGAAGAAGAAGGAAAAAAAACGTACCAACCCCGACCGAGTGCCAGTGTCGTGTCGTGTCATTATATATGCACTAGCCATCAGATCACACAGCACTATTGACTATTCTATGCTATCCCATGCACTGCTGCTGTTTATTTCTCAATGTGTACTGCTACTGTAACTTCACAAATTGTCCTATTACCATTTGCTACTGCTTCGTAGTATTAATTAATTACTAGTAATACTTATCACTAGCTCCTTGAGCACCACTTAGGATCCTCGGTGATATATTTTCGATGTCAATCCAATATCACTAATAGTATTGTGTCAAGTGTTATGTTATTATTTAAACTTGTGTTAAATCAAGCTAAGTTGAATTATTAGAAAATTAAAGTGTAAATAATAACAAAACACTTGGCGCAATACTATTGATGACATTGAATTGACATATAAAACATGTCATCGAGGCTTGAGTACTGCAGTTGTCGTATTTCTACTGCCACCACCGCCAACCAAACGTTAGAATTGGGCAAATGGCGTGGATCCACCCTTGACTTGACTGGTATTATAAACACAAATTTTAATTATTTTTCTATATCTCACGTGCATCGCATCACAACAAACAAATATTGCGATATTATTCTAAATAATTCTCTTTCCAATAATCTCGTATCTAAACACACTCTAAGGGCAGGCACTAAAAAACCATCCTGTGACTGAATGTGGACTGTTGCTTATGTGTTATAACCCTTCAGTACGTGCCTCTGTCCAGTCAATTATTAGTCATTTGGCCCATTCAACATCAAGAATACAGATTTCTTCAAAGTTAAACGAGAACCACTAAAAAACCCCCCCAAAAAAAAAACCAAATCAAAGAAGAAAAGCACAAGTTGCGCTGGTGTGACGTTGACGTCGTTCCACGTGCACCCAAAATGGTTGCTGCACGTTTTTCATGGCTAAGTGATGCGCCGGGCCAAATATCTCGCTGGTAGCCTGCCATCATTTCATATGTTTTAATCATTAATCATTGATGATTAGGGTGGTCCTGAACACTACTGTGTTCCTTCCTTCTCTTCTGCGAGCGGTTAACCGTCAAGATTGGCCAAAATGAATGAAAAAATAAGGCTTAGATTATTACACGTGAACCAACTCCCGACAGAGGAGTTGGCCATCACTGTATATAATCACTATATATAGTGGAGTGGGAGGTTAAGGGTTCAAATTTTGTCTCCCATCAATGTGCCTCAATATAAGGAGTGTTCTAAATTCATGCAAGTGAGTGATGCACCCGTCTAGTCAGATGGTGATTAAGTCTCCGTCAGGTTCCACCAATTCAATTGACCCACTCCTTAGAGTCGTTTTCCTTAAAAAAGTAAGTCCTCCCCCCTTAGGAGTAGGAGTAGGCTAGGTTAGGTTAGATTAGAAGTTGCCGCTAGTATATCATAAGTAGTATACTGGACTGGCTAGGTCTCCGCTCAAGTATATATCATCGTGATATAGCATTAATACTTACATCGTACTAGTACACTAATTTTACAAATGGCAACTATTTAGAAATTATCAGCCTCACTTTCGATTTTCAACCTTGGCGCATGCTTTACCTGAAAAAAAAATGATGATGATAGAAGTCAATAACTTTTGTACTTGTATTTCTTAAAGTTTAATATACTCTCTGATCTATTGCTTGGATACTTAGTATAAAAATGAGATACTTTTTAGAAACCTCCCTTGAGATTTCTGAAAGTCTCACTCCCCTCCCCCTCAAGTTTCTGAAAATATCAAAAACCTCTCCTGATAGAATACTGGATTCCATTTCTTACATCATCATGGATGAAAAGATTTAAATACCTGCACAAGGTACCAGATATTTTGTAATTATCTTGACAAATTTAGTCAAGTTAGTTATAAATATGGTTATAATTTAGATTCCTTTAATTAATATCTAAAATGTCGTGAAGAGAATGGTACCAAATTCAGGAGCCACTTGGTGATTGATACATGGCTTAGAAAGCTCCAGGTACAACAAGTCACTTCAATTAGTCTCTGTAAGTAATTGTTGATATATGGCAAAGAAAACTTCATACATGGTATAAAAGGCCTTGGATTCTCACATTTGTTGAAGAGCTGATGAGCTCTTTCAACCTTAACCAATTTAGATCCCGTTTGGCAAGTGAGTTTTTTTGGTATTTATCTAAAACTTTATTGTTGTTTACTGTATAAATTTTAAAAATATTTTTTTGAAGTATGTAAATTTTTGAATATTTTGAAATATATAGTTTAAAAATTGTGAGAAATTTTTTGAAATTACTGTAATTAAAGTTTTTTAAAAACATGTAGCATACAAACTTAGCAAAAAACTCAAGTGCCAAATAAGGCCATAGTCTTTAAGAATTTTGGAATTTTTCAACATTCTTTGGCAGCCTATGTTGATATAGTTGTTGTTTGTGTATGGTAGATTATGTTTAGCTAATTTTCTGTTTCTCATATGACTTGGTTTGCTAAGTCTCTACCAAATTATGCTTAGTTGACTCTATGTTTCTTTGTGTAACTTGGGTTGCTTCATATGGTAAGATGCCAAGTCAATGTGCTTGGCTCATTCATGCGTGCTCTATAAACGTGTGAGAGGTTACAAATATGCTGATTTGTGATTGAAAATTATTACTTGTCTTTTACCTGTAACTTCACTAATGCAAGACAATGGAGGCATTTGTAGTATCAAATTGTTTTCTTTCTCTAGCTTCCAATTTTTTTTTATTTTTGAATCGGGCTGGATTTTAGACTGTTTATTTAGTTTTAGGGGAAGTTTTTGATATTTCGAAAACCTCAGGGGAGGGGAAAGAGATTGTTAGAAACCTTAGGGGAGGTTTCTGAAATTATCCCGAAAAAAATTTAGGGAAGTATAGTGCAAATGGGCAATCAGAATCTCCAGTGCCCGGCGGTAATTGATTCGATTTAGTTGGATTACAAAATCGATGGATTTTAACTCCATACCTTTCAACGAAAAAATCAGAATTAAATTACTAATCCTGAATCCCAAGTGTTTACCTCAAAAGCCGGCAACTCTTGAGGCCACCCAGGGAACTAATAACCTAACCCTTAACCCCACCGAGGATCGATGTGGGATTTAGTGTGGAAAGACCAGGGAGGGTCTCTGCTATCAAAGGTGTACTAACCTCAAAGATTCTCGGAAACCTCTCCGCTCATTTCTTTTTCTTTCAATGAAGAAATTAGAATTAAATTATTAACCCTGAATTCTAAGTGTTTATCTAAAAAGTCGACAACTCTTGAGGCCACATAGGGAACTAATAACCTAACCCTTAACCCCCTCGAGGATCGATGTGGGATTTGGTGTGGAAAGGCCAGGGAGAGCCTCTGCTACCAAAGTTGTACTAACCCCCAAATCTCTCGGAAACCTCTCCACTGATTTTTTTTTTTTTTATTTCAACAAAGAAATCAGAATTAAATCACTAATCCTGAATCCCAAGTGTTTACCAGAATTAAATTACTAACCCTGAATCCCAAGTGTTTACCTCAAAAGCCGGCAACTCTTGAGACCACCCAGGGAACTAATAACCTAACCCTTAACCCCACCGAGAATCGATGTGGGATTTGGTGTGAAAAGGCCAGGGAGGGCCTCTGCTACCAAAGGTGTACTAACCTCAAAGACTCTTGGAAACCTTTCCGCTCATTTCTTTTTCTTTCAATGAAGAAATTAGAATTAAATTTTAACCCTGAATCCTAAGTGTTTATCTAAAAAGTAGACAACTCTTGAGGCCACCTAAGGAACTAATAACCTAACCCTTAACCCCCTCGAGGATCGATGTGGGATTTGGTGTGGAAAGGCCAGGGAGAGCCTCTGCTACCAAAGGTGTACTAATCCCCAAACCTCTCGAAAACCTCTCCACTGATTTTTTTTTATTTCAACAAAGAAATCAGAATTAAATTACTAATCCTGAATCCCAGGTGTTTATCAGAATTAAATTACCAATCTTAAATCCTAGGTGTTTACCTCAAAAATCGACAACTCTTGAGGTCACCCAGGGATCTAATAACCTAACCCTTAACCCCCCGAGGATCGATGTGGGATTTGATGTGGAAAGGCCAGAGAGGACCTCTACTACAAAAAGTGTACTAACCCCAAGCCTCTCAGAAACCTCTTCACTCATTTCTTTTTCTTTCAACGAAGAAATTAGAATTAAATTACTAACTTTGAATCTCAAGTATTTATCTCAAAAGCCGACAATTCTTGAGGCCACCCATAAAATTAATAATCTAACCTTTAACCCCGCGAGGATCGATGTGGGATTTGGTTGTGAAAAGACCAAGGGAGCCGCTGCTACCAAAAGTGTCCTAACCCCCTTAGGAGGGCAGGGAGGCAAGGAGGCAAGTGATTTGGTGGGATTTTAACTCCATACCCAGTACCACTAGTAATGATTTGTTTTTATTTTATTTATTTATTTATTTTTTGGGTGTCCAGACAAGAAATAATTCCTTAGCAAAGAAGAAGCGAGACTAGACTTTTCATTTTAGTATATATATATTTTTTATTTTTGTTTTTGCCGTGCGAATGGCGACAAGTGGCCAAGTGATAGATTATCCTCTTCCTCATCATCGAAGGGGTTGCTCGTCTCCTGCGTAGTACTGACTTGTATCCATAGACTGTTCGGAATAAGCAACTTAAGGAGTAGTCCCAACTTCCTCTGCCCCTCTACAATTCAACTCCCCCCTGTCCCTTCTCTTTTCATTTTATTCCTTCCTCCCCTCGTTCGTTTGCTTTTCTGGTCGCAATCTCTTCAAAAGGACCGCTTAACCTTTTTTT